TACTTAAATCTCTCTGTGGGCTTAAACAAGCCTCTAGACAGTGGAATATCACATTAATCACTGCCTTGCTTGATTTTGGCTTCAGTCAGAGTCACCTTAACTATTCTTTACTCACGAAGAAAGTAAGGGACAAGTTAGTCCTTGTTCTGATTTATGTTGATGATCTCCTCATCACAGGGAATGATCCTTCTTTGATTCAAGACACAAAAGATGTATTGCAAAGCAACTTTAAGATCAAGGATTTGGGAGAACTTAGGTACTTTCTTGGCCTAGAGTTTGCAAGAACTAAAGATGGCATCCTCATGCATCAGAGGAAATATGCCTTGGAGTTGATTTCTGATTTGGGGCTAGCTGGTTCCAAGCCTATTGGTGCTCCTCTAGAGCTGAATCTCAAGCTTACCTCTACAGAATTTGATCAACATGTTGGGCAATCTCAAGACACCTTGTTACCTGATCCTGGAGGCTATCAGAGGCTCATTGGTCGAATACTCTATCCCACCATCAGCAGACCAGATATTTCCTATGATGTCCAATGCCTTAATCAGTTTATGCATGCCCCTAAGGCTTCTCATATGGAGGCTACTACTAGAGTGGTGAGATATGTGAAGCAGGCTCCTGGCCTTGGTATTTTCTTTTTTGCTTCCAGTTCTAATGAGCTTCAGGCTTTATGTGATGCTGACCGGGCGTCTCCAGTTAGCAGGAAATCTATCACTGACTATGTGATCAAATATGGGGACTCTCTTATTTCATGGAAGTCCAAGAAGCAATCCATTATGTCTCGCAGCTCTGCTATGGCAGAGTACAGAAGTTTGGCCTTCACAGTTACTGAGATTGTTGTTGTTAACCCTGTCTTCCATGAACGTACCAAACACATCGACATAGATTGCCACTTTATTTGTGAGAAGATTCTTCAAGGTCTCGTGCAGACTGTCTACTTAGCTCTTCTGAGCAGCAGGCTGATCTTCTAACCAAGGGTCTCAGCAGACATCAACATCACTATTTGCTGTCCAACATAGGGATGAAGAACATCTTCATTTCCCCTAGCTTGAGTGGGGTGTAGAAGTATTAGATACTTGCACTAAGGTGCCTTAGAGGTTGTACTCTTACTTTAACATAACCCGGGTAGTTAGAGTTGTAGTTAGTTGACCATAGTTAGAAAGTTAGTTATGTTACTGTATATAACCGACTATTTCCTATGTCTGTAGTTAGTTGAGTTCATTTTCGATACAAATGGAGGTGAGCAGAGCTCTCAATTCTTTCTCTGTGTGTTTCGTGATTTCAATTGTTTTCTTCTTCTCATCAACTTAACAGGAGAATTCCTAGTCAACTAAACTTGAGGAGCCCCCGAATTTGAGGCTTTACAAATGTAAAAGTCAAACCCATTAGTTATCCATAGGTTATCCATTTTTTAAGTGGATAATATGGTTCTTATCCATATTTGACCCGTTTTTTAAAAGTTCATTATCCAACCCATTTTTTAATGGATAATATGGGTGGATAACTATTTTCTTTTAACCATTTTGACACCACTAGCTTGAACTATGACTCAGTGCACTTCCAGGAGTTGCTTCAATTCACAGTTCATTACTTCAATATTGCTCTTCCCTGAAAAAAATGGTTGTACTATTCATTTTAAATCGTAAACTAAACTTATCGCAACCATGTTTAGGAGGAGATAAACATCCATGTTCGAGAACAAGATGTTTAGCATTCCAAGGGTAAAAGCACAAACAAACGCACAACCAAAAATGAGAAGGCCAAAATTTTCGAGAGTACATCCCAATTGCAAAAGTTGAATATGAAACTGAATATGGAACAAAGAACATGTTAGTTGGGGCAAGTATAAAAATAATATTCAATTAAGTTAGTCAATTATGACTCGTTATTTAGCTCAAATTGAAACTGTCATTCGGACCAAACAAAATTTAGATGACTTGAGTTGTGATCCATTTTTTGACAAAATCTATTTTAACCTTACCCTTATTTAGCCAAATCTCTACCCAAATTGACACCCTCACTTGGTTTCTATAGAAACTACCAAACCGGCCATGTTAGATTTAAACGATGATTTAACTTTGGTTAAGCCAAATCTTACCTATAAGATAAAAAGGACATGTTTACCACGAGGTAGGCATGTATACACAAAAGCTTGTCGCTATAGGATAATTGTTGCCTATTGAAAAAGAAAGGCCATAGTAAATAGCAGTTTGACTAACCATGTTGTCACTCTTTAATTCACAAAAGCAAATCTGACTAACTAAAAATAGTTAATGAAAATTGAACTTTAATATTGTGTATTGTTGTTGAAAAAAGTAAGGCTTGAGTACCGTTTGAATTCTCATTGTATCTTTCTTTGACAATATTTTTTATTTTACAACTATGAGCTCAAATATTTGGAGGTCAAAAATTATGGTAAAAGGTTAGTAGTAGAGGAGTCAATATGGGCTTGGCCCGTGCCAAGCCCAGTCCGCAATTTAGTAGGATTGGGCTAGAATTTTTGGAGCCATTTAAAAACGAGGCTTTTAAGTCCAGCCCAAAATAAGCCCGTGGCCTGTGAGGCTTGACTGAGGTTGGGCTGGGCCGGGCCGTGGCCTAATAAAAATATTTATTAAAATATAAAAAGTATACTGCCTCTAGCGATGGAAAGTCAGAATTAGATCTTTACTTAGAGGAACCAAAGCTTGATCTTGAGAAGTTTCAAGAGATGGGTGTTGTCACGTATTGGAAGGACCATTCTAGAAAATATCCCGATCTTTCAGTGATGGCCACGATGTACTTAGTATTCCTATTACCCATGTAGCATCGAAATCAACATTTTTGGTTGGCGTGTTCTTACAAAGTACAAAAGTTGTATCCATCATGAAAATGTCCAAACACTTGTTACTACTCGAAATTGGTTGCACGGCTTTTCCTAAACTCAAACTAGTAATATATTTTTTTGTGAATCTAAATATTATTAGTTTTTAAAATTTAATTATTCTTAATATTTAACTAATTAATATTGCACATGAATTATAGATGTAGATGAAAGTGAAGATGTTAAGACAACCTTATCACAAGCGGATTCAAATGCATTTGATGAAGATGATGTGTTGGATATCCCATAAATGTCATGGACGTTCTCTTGAATAATTTGTTTTGAGTTTTCACTTTTAGTGAATGCAATATAGTCTTGTCTTTTACTTTTTTAGTATTTATTGTGATATATTGGAACAGTATAAAAAGTTATTATGTTTTGGGAAATGTTTCCAAGAAGATATTTTCTAACTTTTAAATAATTATTTTTTTAGGTCAGAACTTAAAGAAAAAATATAAAATTATATTTTAAAAAATGATGCGCTAGCCCGTGGGGGCCCGCGGCCCACATAGGGCTGGGGTGGGCTGATTATTATAAGGCCCATCAAAATAACGAGCTAGCCTAACCGAGCCCGTCAATTGCTAAAGCCCACCTGGGTTGGGTTGGGCTAACCTGGCCAGACCCATATTAACAGCTCTAGTTAGTAGGTAGTTGAGAGCTTCTCCTTTCCTTACCAGTAGTATTAGTAGCTCTCTCGTATTTTCATATTCTTATATCTCTCTTACGTCACATTATTTTGTTCGCTTCAGTTATCATATTTTACTGTTGTTACTAATTGGTACTACTACTACTTCTTCTTCTTCTTCTTCTCACCTTTTCCTGGCCCGAGGATCTATCGGAATTAGTCTCTTTACATTCACTAGGTAGGGCTAAATTTGTGAACACACTACCCTCCCCAGACCCCAACCGTGGGATTAAATTGAGTTTGTTGTTGTTGAGCTCAAGTATGTGCTTCAATTGTAGTAACCCCTTCCCCCCTCCCCCCCCCCAAAAAAAAAAAAAAATTTAACATCCAAGACTTGGAGAATGATAAAGCAAAGGTCAACAACTGCAACCGTTGATTCCACAATCGGCTAATCAATTCAAAGCAAGAATAGTGTGCACTCTGAAAGTAGAGGAATATACTTAGAGCCCGTTTGGATTAGCTGATTGTAAATAGCTGATAAGCTTGAAGTGCTGAAAAGCTTTTTCACGTGCTAAAACTGATTTTGAAAATAAGTATTTACGTGTTTGGATAGAAGTGCTAAAACTGATAATAAGCAGTTGATGTATTTGATTAAAAAGTGCTGATAAGCTATTCTTTTGTTAAAATGACTAAAATACCCTAGAATGTTTTTCAAAAAATTATAAATTAAAAATTTCTTTGTAAAGAAAAGAATTAACAACGAATATAAAATGGAGAGAACGTCAAAAAATTTATTTTGGGAAAAGTATTTTATGAATTAGAAAATATTATTAATGATAAACTAGTAAAAGTGTTGGTCAAACTAAATGTGCTTATAAGCTGAAAAGCCATAAGTTGGAGGTGACCAGCTTATGACTTATGGCTGATTTTAGCTTATAAGCACTTTGGGTGTTTACCAAACGCGTAGATAAGCCAAAAGGTGCTTATAAGCTTAGCCAAACACCCTCTTAGTTTTCTTGCATTAAGGAACCAAAATTTGTGTTTCTCAAATTTTGTCTCAGCATAGTTGCGTATACGTTATGATATGCATGATTCTGTCTATCGTGATTTGAAACCAGGGCTCGTGTTCACAAAAACCAATTAAGAGTCCATTGGGATGAAAAGCACAAGAAATTTGTTTACCTCAAGCTTCCTACGAACTCTCCACAGCAAGCTCTGCAGTTTTTACTACTTTAAGATGCAAAAGGTTTTCCATTTCTTTCCTATTCCTTTATTGTTTCCCCCTAGTTCTTTAGCTTTTCATTGTTCGCAAAACGCATAACTGTGGAGGACATTACTTAGTCATCCTATACTGACCATTGACCTAGTCAACAAAATCATTCTTTTACAACAACCATAGAAAAGCAATAATGAAGCAACAAATCTCTCAATAATGATCAGGGATGATAATACCAGCTCCTGCCTCACCATTTCTCCAAGCTCCAGAGCAACACACCGTATTTCAAAGACCAAAACTTGTTATGGGGAATTGGGTATTTTATAACTTCCAACTGGTTCAATTAAAAAACTGATGTCAAGTTCTTCTGTTGCAGTGAGGTGTGTTATTTCCCACGTAAACCAAGAATGACAAAACTGAGACACTAAATTATTTGGCCATTGAGCAATTCTTACTGTTTAAACATTGTAGACGGGCTATTATCTAGATTGGAATTTTGTGTGTGTGTGTGTGTATGAGAGAGAGAGACCAAAGGCACTTCTGTGCATTTCTCTTGCATGCCCATAGATGTAGTTACAAATAATGCAAGCTCACATATTCTAATGCATACTATCAGTTCATTTTATTTACGTAGCTTTTAGATAGATAGCTATGTCTGATGAGCAACCAGTGGTGAAGCTACGAATTTTCTCAAGGGTATTCAAATTTGAAAGAAGTAAAAAAGACAAAGGGTGTTCAATATGTGTTATATACCTCTAAAACGTAATATTTTACCTATATAAATAGTGCAATTTTTCGACGAAGAGTGGTCTTGTGACCATGTGGCTTCGCCACTGTGAGCAACTAATGTTACAATAGAAGGAAAGGATACACGCTTAGGAGACGATACCTTTAGCAGATAGATCGTGTCTAATGATTCTTATTTTAGGTCAATTTGCTCTTCTTTTTTTTGCGTGATGACATGAGCTAGCTGTTTATAGGAACCCACAGAAGGAGGTAGTACTTTTGGTCAGAAAGAATCATATCAAGATGGGTGCCGTCGATTGAGAAGACAAACAAGCTCATTCCTCAAAATTATTCATGTGTTTTCAATGACACCAATTTGATACTAGATTTTGTAAATGTGATATCAGACGCTGCAAGAATGCCTTTGCATACACAAGATCATGCATCAGTCACTTGCTAGTTCAAAGTCTACATGGTAATCAAGAGAGTGCAAGATGAAGTGGAGTACTTTACAGTGATCTTCAAAATGAGACAATACATGAACTATGACTCAATGCCACTTCACGAGTTGCTTCAGTTCACAGCTCATTACTTCAATATATCTCTTCCCTGACAAAAACGGTTGTACCATTTATTTTAAAATGTAAACTAAACTTATCGCAACCATGTTGAGGATGAGATAAACATCCATGCTCGAGAACAAAATGTTTAGCATTCCAAGGGCAAAAGAAAAAATAAACGCACAACCAAAGATGAGAAGGCCAACATTTTCTAGAGTACATCCCAATTGCAAAAGTTGAATATGAGACTGAATATGGAACAGAGAACCTGTATTCCTCATCGAGTTTTATATAACCAAGTGGTATTGTAGTTTAGAAGGCAACACTACGTAGCAGTAGACGATACATGTAGATAACAACAACAGACCCAGTGAAATCCCACAAGTAGGGTCTGGGGAGGGTAGTATTTACGCATACCGCCTACCTTATGAAGGTAGAGAGGCAAAGCGATCTAGCAAAGCAATTCCAACTCACACAATATAGCATGTGGACAATGCATGTTTAAACAACTCTCATTCTAAAATACTAGCAAAGCAATTCCAACCTAGATAACAGCCCGTCAACAATGTTTATACAGTAACAATTGCTCAATTGCTCGACTGCCAAATAATTTAGTGTCTCAGTTTGTCATTCTTGGTTTACATGGGAAATAACACACCTCACTGCAACATATGAACTTGGCATCAGCTTTTTAATTGAACCAGTTGGCACATTATAAAATACCCAATCTTTGGATTGAAACACAATAACTTTTTACACTAGAAAGAAAGTCAATAATTATCAGCTAATGTATATTACAAGAACATACAATCAGTAAAAACTGAAGAGCATATCCAAAAGCCTGTAATTCATACATCACCTAGTGTATAATACCCACACAATAAAAAAAGAAAAGAAAAAAAAACAAAATGCCCGTGAATAAATTTGATAATTCCACTAACAGTAATATGAGTAGTATTTTAAAGATTAACCTGGCTAAGGCAATGAAGGAGCCAACGTCCTTTGTTCAGAAGAAGAAGACGGGTTTTCTTGGCGAAGCTCCTTAATTACAGCAGCCAATGCCTCAGGGTTAAAACCCAAATCGCAGAGAGCAATTAGAACAGAAAGAGTGTGACGATCGAGGCCTGTGTCCAGAATATTTGACATATGAAATACCAACTCTAGAGAATCACGTGCTGTACGTGCAGCCTCCGGATCCATTTCGACAGTCTGTAAAACCAATTTCTGAACATAAGAAGTTGAAAACCTACCCAGAATTGAAACTGAAAATTTAAATTAGAGCCCAAAATGGAATGGGGAACCGAAAATTTACTTGGGAATTTGCTTCCTTTCAGTGAATCGAGGATAAGAAGGTTGCTGCTTCAAAATAGCTGCACTGCGGACGGGCAAAGACTTTGGGCGGATTTCCGTTTTGGCGATATGTATTTGGACTTGGGAAGTGGTTTTCTTTCCTTTAAATTTGGAAATTTTTTTCGCGAGTTTGTTGAAATATGTTGGTACTTAGGAGAAAATGACAAAATGGTCCCTTAATTTTTAGAGTTCAAGTATACACTGAGCACTTTTTGTCCTTTTAAGTTTGTTAAAAATTTACATTTTTGATCTCCGTTATATATTTAAGGCAAAATATCTTAAAACACTCTAGCACCGATAATTAGTTTCCTTCCTAAACTATATCTAGTCATAATTACCTCCTGCACTTGAAAAAATAAATTTAAATACCCCCTCGGTCTCATACACCTTAGTTAAGTGTTGGCCTTGTTGGATATTTTATTCGATATGTGCTCCACACAAGCGAAATAATAAAATTTTATATTACCTATACTAAATTTAAGAAAAATAAATAAAATGAAAAAAAAAAAGTGGATTAAAACCTGAACTAAAAGGACAGTTAAATTAAATCATTCTATCCGAACTCTTCTCTCTCAAACTCCCTCAAATGGTTCTCCTATTTTCACCTTCGAGTTACATATAAATCTTAGGGATCTAGTCAAGAAATTTTCATTATATAATTTTCAGTAAGTTTTCGTTTATATTTTGTTGGTTTGGGTGTTTAATCAGGGTCGGTGAGCTCCAATAATGTGGAATAGTATCCCAAATGTGGTGGGTCTTCGATCGACAAAGTGGGTTCATCTTTTGATGTCTTAAAGAAAGTAGGAAAGAAAATCAAGAAATGTGTCTAAGAACTTTGCAATTAAAGAAGAAAATCAGAATCACAGGAAAAGAAAGAACACTGGTTGTGCTTTAATGGAGGAAGTTATAACGAGGAAGAAACAGGAAAAATAACCATGGGAAAGATAGGAAATATAAAAAGGGAAATGTTAATTAGGGGGCTCTTTATCGTTTGGGCTTCTTAGGTGGCATTTTTTTAAGAGAAATTTTCAGAAACCACTATGTTTTAGTGATTATTAGCTTGTTATAGCTATCATTTACTAAACTACTTCCTATAGCTATGTTTTAACTTGTTATAGAGTGTATTCGATGTATTTAAGCTGATGTATTCATGAATACAATAGGAAAAGTCGGCGAAAAAAGGGAATTACAGCTAACATGTAGACTGTATTCATATGTATTCGCGAGCTGTATTCGTGAATACAGTAACGGAAATTTGCGGAAAAAAAGGTCTTCAGCTGTTTAAGAAACGGTAAATGAATCAATTAACGCGATAGACTCCTAATATAACTCAACAAACTCAATTATAACATACAAAATTTGTATTTTTAGTTATAGAAAATATTCTCAACCGAAAAATAACCAAAAAACAGAGCAATCTTCAGAGATTCAATCCACCCTTTCTTTTTTTAGTGGTATCTTTACTAAAATATTTTTTAGTGGTATCTTTACAAATAGATTTATATATTGAAATTATATAATTACACGAATACAGTTAAATACGTAAAAATACATTGAATACATGAAGTATAGCAGGTCATATATAGTGCAAAAATATATGAATACATACTGCAAATACATTTGAATACATATATACATCTGAATACATAAATTATATTAATTAAAAAATATATGAATAAATTCTACAATACATTGAATACATACTGCTGAATATATACTGCTGGACAAAACAGTGAAATAAAGTGAAGCTTTGAAATTATATAATTACATTGAATACAGTTAAATTCATTGAATATATTGAAAAAGTAGAAAAAACTAAAGACAATTAATACAATGAAATACATAGAATACAGCGAGATACATTGAAATACAATAAAAAAAAAGGTAACAGACTCTTCAAGTTCCTAAGCCTCAAACTCTGTCCCCAATCCACCGATATCCAAGCCGCCGCCATGTGGGGTGCCGCCGCCGGTACCGGCGCCCTCTGAGTCGTCCAGGTAGTGAATCTCTCATTTCTGCTTTGAAATTTTGAGATCTGCACTTGTATTTCTCCAGATATTTGTTTCTCCTGTATTTTTTTTCCAGATCTTTGTTTCTACTAACTACAACTCTTTGGAGCAAATTAAGTTGAAAATTGAGAGAGACAATTGAGATGAATTAGTGGAGAATTGTTGATAGAGAGAATGGGAAAGAGAATGGCGTTGTACGGAGAGAAATTGGAGAGAGAGACCGTGGAGAGAGAAGTTTACTTCCTATAGGGTAATTTGGTTAGAGAAAAAAAAAAGGAGAGAGAAAAATAATACACAACGTATTTAATGGCTTAAAGGTATAAAGTGACCATAAATAGATATTTTGCTATAAAATTAAAAGGTAGCTATAGGAGATAATTATTTTAAAGGGTATTTATTTATAATAAATAAACTATCAACCTCTGCTATAGGAGGTAAAATTTCCTTTTTTATACACGCTCACGCGCCAAAGGCTATTTGAAACCCACTTGCTATGCCATGTGGTAGATTGAGGGGGTAACTAAATTTACTTATTCAAGTGTAGGGGATAATTAGGACTAGGCATGGTTTGGGAAGGAAATTAATAATCGATGCTAAATTTAGAGGTGTTTTAAGATATTTTGCCTATATTTAATGAACTGTGTCTATCAGATTTGATGAGAATTTGTGAAAAAGAAAAAAAAAATAGTGGAACTCATATTTAGAAGTACAATTTTTATAGTTCCTATAATTTTTGATATATTTCTAGAGTTTGGTGCGTCTTCTTAAGATGTACTCAGCTATTTTTGGTCTCTCTTTTTTTGTCTTGTATAGTTTTTGTATTGCATATTAAGATTTTATGGGACTTTCTTGGTATTTAAGGTTATATTGAATTTTTTCCACGGTTTTCGTCAAATCTAACGAGCATAAATTATTAAGTATTAAAAATATTAATTTTTGAAAAACTTAAACCAAAATTCTAAGTGCATACTATTACGATGGACTAATTTTTCTGATTAAACAAACTTCAAACTTTACAATTTGGGTTTAAAAAAAATTTTAGGTTGTTTTCTTAACGTGGGCAGGGAGTGCAGAATTCTGAGTAATTTTCAAGGGTAGTCATTCAACTTTGTATTTGTTACACAAAAGTCGTTTTTCTTTTATTACGTACAAATCATTTAACTTTGTGTTCATTACTCAAAAGTCATTTTTCTTTCTTTTGTTACACAAATAATTTTACTTTGCTCTATTTATTACAAAAGCCACATTGGCCAGATTTTATAATACTTTTACTTGAAAAGTCTATTATGTCCTTGACATTATAAATCTTCTCATTTATGTAACACCTTCTATATTAGTATATACTATATAATATATTTTTACCTAGATATTTTACTTATAATTAAAATAATTTTATATTATTTTATTTATTATTTTTATAATATATCTATACATTAATTTTTTCCGTGGCACTCAATTTGTTTAATCATATTCAAACATGAACATATTTTAAATATAAAGACAATAAATAATATTTATTTTTTAATATTTATTTGAAATAATAAAAATAGATTTGTTAACGAATGAAACTTTTTTGTAGTTAATAAGCATTTTAGAAAAAAATTCAAGATATTTGTGTTTAATATTAAGTTTTTTAAAGCTTTATTTGTTAATATTATTTATTTGAAAGGATTAATCTGATGTGTCATTGTGCTAAATGTAAGTATTTTATTTATTGGATTAATGGGTATGGCTTGGCTGATAAATTAGTGAGCTTTGATTTATAGTTTTCATTAAAAATATTTTATTAAGCATGGTTAAGAACTGGACTTGAGGTTTGTTCACGATAATGTTACCGGCAAATTTAATAATGCTACTTATATATCTTGAAAAATAATGTTAAGAAAAAATTAAATGTACGAATATATCATAAAAATAATAAATAAAATTGTCACGCCCAAAAACTCGACCTGTCGTGATGGTGCCTATTATGATACTAGGCAAACCGATAACTCAGACATACAACACTTCCGAATTTAAAATATACTAAACAAGTGAAAAAATTTATAAGAACTGAATACAACTGTCACAACTCGATACATAAGTTTCCCAAAACCAGGGTATCACTGAGTACATGAGCATCTATACAAATACAAGGTCTGATACATTGTCTAAGAAAAAGCAGAAACTGAATAAGTAAAACTGAGGTATAGGGGAGTAGAGTCAAGGTCTGCAGACGCCAGGGAAACTACCTCGAAAATCTCCAAATGACTAAAAACTCTGAGAATCAGCAACCACCGTGCCCGAAAACACGTGGATCTACACATGAAGTGCAAGGTGTAGTGTGATTACAACCAACTCAATAAGTAACAAATCTAACCTTTGGACTGAAAGTAGTGATGAATCTCACAAGTGAACTCGAATTACAGAGGCCTCAAGTCCTAAATCATGATACAAACTTATTCGAGGCCTCAAATCACATCAAACAACATTAAAAATACGAATCGCACCTTAATTTCAAGCCTAACGAAAACTAAGAAATTCTAACTTCTATAATCGATGCTGAAACCTATCAAATCAAGTCCGATTGACCTCAAATTTTGCACACAAGTCATAAATGACACAAAGGCACTATTCTAACTTCCGAAACCAAAATCCCAGCCTGGTAACCACAAAGTCAACTCTCGGTCAAACTTCTCAATTTCCAAAACTTCTAATTTTCCAACCTTCGCCATTTCAAGCCTAAATCAACTACGGACCTCCAATTCACTATCCGGACACACTCCTAAGTCCAAAATTACCCTACGGAGCTATCGAAATCGTCGAAACTCCATTTCGGAGTCATTTATACATAAGTCAACATCCGGTCAACCTTTTACACTTAAGCTTCAAACTTTAAAACTAAGTGTCTTAACTCATTCCGAAACATCCCCGAAATCGAATCAACTGCCCTGTCAAGTCATATAACTATAATTAAGCATAAAATAAGCAATAAATGGGGGAACGGGGCTGCAACACTCAAAACAACCGGCTGTGTTACATTCTTCCCCTCTTAAACAAACGTTCGTCCTCTAACGGGTCTAGAAATGTACCTGGGGTCTCAAATAGGCGTGAATATCTGCTCCGCATCTCCCGCTCGG